AACCACAGGATTTATCAGTGAGGCCACAATCACCCACTCAGATCTAATTCTGACCAATGACCTGAAGAGAAAAAGAACAATGGGGAGACAGGGAAAACGAAAAAGATATCAAAAGAGACTTAAATCACTAAATTTTACAAGGACAAAAAGTCACAAAAAAAGTAATTATTCTTGGTTCTCCAATTATCTAGGCATAAATCTTAGTAAAGTAATGACCAAATTTACTCTGATTGAGTTAAGATTCATTAAAACTCTACAACTTATTTTCTCACAGCCACCTGATGAAATCTAAGCCTTAACTTTCTAAACAGTTTAATCCCTAATTTCTGTGCAGGATGAGAAAAGTTATCAGATATATTAAATAAAGGTCTACTAAGAAAAAAAAAAAGCCAACCAAACAACTCAAACCCCACCCCTCATATTCTTCAACTCATGTGATACTTGCTGTTTACTACAGGTTTGTAAGTCTCATGTTGGCACCAATTATAAAAATATTGAGGCATATATAACTACATAAAATTATCTTTAAACAGTGTTTGAAAACCTTCCAACATGGTTGACCATCAATATGATCAAAGGCTTGATCCATAATATCATATCTGCAGAATAATTTCATTTTCTCTATGGCAAGTGCACTTCTGAAACAGGAAAGGTTTTATGCAGCATTTAAGTTTATCGATGTGGCATTAACACAACAAGAATTATTTTCTGAGTATTTCTGAATTCTTCTATTTTTCATAAGGTTTCTTATGATCATAGATGGATTTGACTAATGTTAGACACTGCATATTTTATTAGGGCTGAGAAACTCATTAAAAGGCTGGTTTATTTTATTGATACCTGTGTAGCTTTTAAATGCTTGAGGTAAAATTTTCTATGATTGACAGCTATCTTAAGGTGGCATTATTTTTTTTTCCTTTCTCAGCAGAAATGTCTCAAGCCATTAATCATTCTTGTTAAAGTCATCAAACACAAGTGTCTCAGAAAAACTTCATGCCTTAAAGTATGGACTCAAAGCTGAACATTCACCTTCTGTGAACTGAACCTCCAAGCTGACACCTTGCTCCCACCACAGTGACAGCATTGCTTGAAGCACTGCTGCTTTTCCTGCCTGCTCAAGGAGGAGAAGTCCATACAGAGCATTCCACATGGTGACAAACAGTCTCCTAACAGTGAATGGACTTACCTCTACCAAAAACCCCGAGATAAATACATCAGTATCACCCTGATACTACATGTGCAGAACAGGTAGAAATAGCAAAGAAAACCTCTGAATTAAGGTAGCAGGTACTTCTACGTATATCTTTGGTACACTCAATACATCAAAAAATGAGGGGTTTAAAATTACATACCAGCTAGAGTGTTCTCAGAATAATTCTATATAAAAGTCATTCTTAGGATTTCTGGTTTGTTTAAATGCAGACGTTAGAAGCCAAGACAACTGTAATACTTCTGCACTTAGTCAGAAAATGGCAGAACTATTGTTACCAAGCACTCAGATACTGTGAAAATAAACATGTCAAAATGCAAGGAAAAATATTCTATTCAGAAAATTATTCAGGTAGAGCACAAATAGGGAAAGTGATACACAAATAGTGCCGATAAAACAAAATACTGCGTATTTAGTTATTGTCTATAATTTACTGATGATTTTTGACCTTTTCTAATAAGGATTGTAAGCGGAGTTAGTTTTGACTATTCAGGAGATCTGACCTCATAAAAATATTTTTAGGCATGTGTTTCAATTTTTTTTGGAGCTAGTAGCATGTAAGAAAGCTCTGAAAATCTGCACTCCCCTGGGGGAGTAGAAAAAACCACAACATAGCCAGTGTAAAGCTAAATATGTAGGATGAGAACTGAACAATAAATTGAACTTTTATTAAGTGATGTTATTCTATCTTTAAACGCAAACTAAACATATCCTTAATAAAACAGAGAGGGGCTTGCAAGGCAAAATAAAGTAACAGGAAATTAGTAAATGATTAATTCTTAAAGTATTATGAACTTCGAGGAATAAATTCACTTTAAACTTATACTAATTGAAAAATAATGTATCACTGATAAATGAAGATTATTAACTCTGAGCAAGGAATATTGCTATTTAAATCCCACCCATTCATTCCTCACTCTTAATACACATTGGATCTAAAGGCAGCTTGGTAGACATGTTGCCATATGCTGTACACAGCAAGCAAAAATCCTTTGATCCTTTTATTACTGTATTTTATTGTAATGATATTTACTTTTCTAAAAAAGCGAAGATACCAACTGGTTAGGAAAATGTAAAAGCAATACAGATAACAGCTAATTTCCTTATTGAAGGGGTTTTCAAGTGGCAGCTATTGGAAGAAATATTCTGCACTTTAATTAGAATAAAATTTGTTATTGATTTTCATATTTGTCTTCTAGCACACAAGTTTGGAGAATATCCTGTACACATACTATATTAATATTCCAAATGTATGATTAGATCAATATGCATTGTCATGGAAAGATATTCCACTGTAATGGAAAGTTGCCATATCCATATATTAAAATTTAGGTAAAAAACATTAAACTACACAGATATTATTTCATGGCCTCTGTATTGTTTTCTATATCACTACCCACATGCAGGTGCAATATCAACATTTAAACTTCGAATAATTTCACTTTGCTCTGTAAATCAAGGGAATTAAGGATATAAATAAATTTATCTAATGCTAGACCTGTAAGAGCAACAGGCAGTTACTTATCTTTTTCCTTTTTATCTCCCACCTTTTTTAGACTTGTCTTGTAGTCAGTGGGGAAGAGATACATACTTAAATTACACTTGAAGTCAACTATACTCCTGGTATTTAACATTTCATCATAAGCTATGCTGAAATACTATTTATTTAGAATATATGTAGACAATTGTACTCAGAAAACTTCCCAGTGATCATGTAAAATAAGGTCATCTTTGTAAATCTCATGAAAAGAGAGTACAACAAGTTGTATATGAAGTAGCAACGTTTTAGAGATTAACCTAGGACATCAAGTTTATTCTGCTTCATAAAATGATAATTGTGGATACCTGTTGAGACAAACATTTTCAGGTCCTTGGGAATGCTTTTTGTACAAGTGTGTCAACCTCTGTCACAGGAAACTAGACAATGAACCATTATGCACAAAGAAATTTTCCATCTGCTCTAGGGATCACCCTCTTAATTACCTGATGGAAGAACCATTCTAGAGTCAAAGTGGTTCTAACTCTCTAAACTTTTCTAAAGTCACCTGTCAAATTCAACAGAATTATTGCTGACTCTACAACAGTGTAAATACTGAAATATTCATAGAAATTCTTAATCCACAGCTTGAAATTCTAAACAGACTGGCTGTTTTCCCAGCTATCCATTACCTTTTGCACAGGAACACTGTTCAGATGCATTTTTTTAACGGCAAACAGTGATATATGAGTCTGACACAATACTCCACTGACTTTAACTTAGAGGCAAAGCCCAAGTCATGAAGCTAACTGCATAGCCAGAAGAAATATAAACACTTTTTGACTGTAGAAGCAATAAAAGCTATCTTATGTCTCTTCCCATAACAGAACTCAAGCGCAAGGCTACCACTCAGATTTTATCCTATTTAACTGAGTTAGGGAATATGTTCAGAGGTAACTGTGCAGGCAAGTGGGACTATGTGTGGTTGCCCATTTATTTGCCAGCAGATGAAATCCTAATGAAAGGTGTTGTGTTCCTGCAGAGGTGCCTCAGTGATGCTGTGGCATCTCTGTCACACATCTGAACAATGCTTTGTCTGCCTGAGTGCCACTGAAGTATCTACATAGCTCTTGATCTAGGTCAGGCCAATTTCAAGGATCAACGCCATGACCTCTTGTGTTCTGCTGCAATACAGATGTAATTCAACATTAAAGCAACTACAGTATATCCTACCGGGCTTTCTCAGGTATTGACCCTAGATGGCACCTTTTAGTCAGCAATGCATAACAGGAGCAACAACAAAAACGATTTGTTAATTGCTACTGTAAAGCAAATAAACGCATCTTTTCCTGTGGTGAGGTGGTGAATGTGGCACTCATTCTTCCATGATACTCATAACAAAAGCCACACTTTTAGCCATCTGAACCCTTGTCTGAATATGTAATATGCATGAGCAGTGGTATCAATTTTATTTCCTCTTTAATCTTGAAACAGGCAATGGTTTTATGAGTGAAGGAGGGACAGTTCAAATATACTGATTTTTCCTGTTTTGTCTAAAGCAAACAGTGTAGATAGTGTGTTGTAATAACCTGTAAAATAAATTGTGATCTCAGAGCTCAGTTAGTAAAATTAGGTTTTGATACACTTTTAACATGCTGTGCATTTCAGTGGCTCTGGACTCAATTCCTCCTCTCAGGACACACAGCTCTGAATTGCCTGAGCGCTCCTAGTGTCTAATACCATTATAACCCCTAACAGTCCTGTCTGTCCAAGCTCAAATAAGTACATTTATTAGCCATATGAATCAGCATTGCATTCTCAAATCAACTGGGAATCTACAGTTTAACCTGGAAACACACCTTTAGTTTTGCTGTCTACACAGTCACGAGCTTTGCAATTATCTTCCACTATTAACTGATTATCAATTAAATCAAAATATCTCAGGTCATGAATTTTTGGAAGAAATAATAACTTTGTGCTTCAACTTGGGACAGTTTAGACTGAAAACATCAGTCTTTCTAATAAGTTCGATTTTTACTTATAGCTCCCAGGAGAATTCTACTCAATTCACTGCCATGTCAGCTAAACTCCTGATTATCAGGGTGGGACTCAAGCCATTCTATTTTACTAGTGGCATACCTTGAACTGTAAGAAAATTTTCTTTTTTTCTTGCTTATATTAACCTTAAAACTTTCCCATTCAGCATTTTCTACTAATGTTTTTCCTTCTATAAATAACACCATTTGACAGAAAAACCTTCAGGAAAGTGACCAAAACATCAAAACAAATAGGATGACCCCTTTGTGTTATTACCTGTTTCAATTTCCCAAATGTAAACTGAATTGTCTTCACATCCAACAATTAACACATTCTCAAGAGGGTCAAATTTTATCTTCTTCACAGGAAACAGATGCTTTCTAGCATGTAAGAGACATTGTCTCTTCTGGAGGTGTAGAATTGCTACTGAGTGGTCGCTGCACACACAGCACACTATACTCTGGTCTTTTAACTGCAAAACAGAAAACTCCAGTTTCAACGCTGTAACCACTGTAATTCATAACCACATCATTTTAACAGGCCTAGGAAGAGTATTCCAGTGATTTCCTTCCCAGAACATACTCATTTTAAAAAATTATGTTTTATGTCAGCCAACATCTTCAACTGGTTTTCAGCAGACTGGCTATACAATTCATTTCCTGACAGGAAAACATACCTTCATCTTTGTTTTTCCAGTATTTCAACTACAATAATTTTAATTCCATTTATTCACAATATTTAGCATACCAAAGCAGTGATTATATAACCAACTATACAGTAGCAGTTGTCCTAGAAGAGAAAGTAGTAAAAAAATTACCTTAAACCAAAGTGGTGCTCATGAAATATAAAATTATGTCAGGTCTAAAAAGCCAAGAGTTATGTATTTCTAACAAAAAAAAAACAACTAAGTTACAAATTCATTTCATACTGTATGGATCTGATACTGCAAAACCTTCCCTTCCTGCAAGTAATTTTTGGTGACACACAGAGGAATTCCCTCACAGAACAATTCAGCTCTTTAAACAAGACTGAAACACGAGCCAGGCAGGCATTAAATCCTACTCAGTTTTCAGAATAAAGATGAAAAGGAGTCTTACAAATATTAAAAACTTTATTATTGCAAACCATTTTTCTTTACTATTTTATTTTGGCATGTAAGTGGACTGGAAGTCATAAGTATCAAATCTGTCTTTGCAGGCTTTGCAAGAGGAATAATGGAAATCACAGCTTCACAGAATACATAGTTCAAAAGTTACATAGAACATTCAGTACAGTAACTCTCCATCTAAATTTAACTCCAGAATTTAATTAATTAGAACACAACTTTAAACTATTCTAAATATCATAAAATGCAAAAACATACACACAAAGGACCAAAAAGATGTGTCAGGAACCAAAATGAAGTATATCTATTTTGGACCAACAGAGAAGATTAAAATATTATAGTTCAAGCTCCTAGCTGCACTGAGTAAGTTTTTTAAATTTCAGGAGGAGTTAATCAGATTGACACATAAGTTAATAATCATGACAATAAAAATGGTGAATAGAATGTTAAGAGCTTCAATATCATATATTACAGACTCAAAAACTCAACTCCCTGCAACTAAAAGCAACTTTCAAAGACAACAATTAAGTGAAGGTAAATTAAGTGTAAAGTGGGCTAAAGTATTTCCAGATAGTGGTATATAAATATATACATATATTTTATGATTTTACTTACTCTGTAGTGTTCTGGGGATCGCAAGAGCTCTGTCACTGCACCAGACTGCAGATTAAACTGCTGTAGGATGCCTCCAGTAAATATATCCCAGCAGATCACAACAGAATCCTGGCCCCCTGATAACAGCCAGCTGGGATCAAATCTTACTGATTTGTCATGTGGATAAAGTAAGCAAGTGACTCTGCTACTGTGACCATTCAGAACCTTATAAGGTAGATTATCTGTAACAAGATTACACATTATTTTTGCTGTTTAAGACTAGGAGTTCCATGATTTACAGCACATTTCCTGAAAGTCAGGATAGATATAACCAGCCTTTATACAGTGTCAAAGAATTCTGGACCTGTTCCTAAAAGATAGAACAAAGGTCTGCACTCTGAGCTTCACTACTGAGATGTACTCTATATGTTCCCTTCAGCGGAATGATCTTTTAGAGAGCAAATGAAATAGGAAACTGCCAAGACAGTGACATGCCACATATCTCACTTCTAGGGGCTATCCAATCCCACAGCCATTCCCAGATTCCCACTACTGGAAAGCACCTTAGTAGTACTAAGCTGTGATCCAATAGATCAGCTATGGAAGGAGAAAGATCATCATAAACTTCCATTTTCCTCATCCCATTCCTGACTGCCAGCCCTAATTTTCAGAGAATTTTTACAAGGATCACTGGAAGTGATGCCAAAATTATGAAGTCTTCTGTGTTGGACTGAGATGAATCTGAACAAATTGTTATAACTTACCTTTAAGAAAAGATATGTTTTCTAAAAGTCTTGCTCTTGCAGTTTCTAAACCTAATGTTACAAAAATTTTCCCATTTTCGCATCCACATACAAGCTTATCAAGACCAGGTATGTACACAGAGGAACTGACAACTGTGCTTCCAAATCCATCTTCAGATCCACAAAGTTGATCAATAATGCCCTCTGACATGGAATGATGTTTATCAAAACTATCCTGAAGAGTCCACATGGTTGTAATTGGGATCTCTAGAGGGTGGGGCAAGAAAGAACTTTTTTGTTTATGCAAAACAAAATATAAAAAGTCAAAGTAAACAAAACACACCTTTTCATCTCTTGATCACTTCCCTTAACTTATCCTTTCTGCAGTCTAGGGCTGGAAAGTCAGCAATTGCTATTGCTCCTAACTACAAGCAATCACCACACAATGAATGAATGAGCACCACTTTCCAGTGTAACAAGTTTTTTATGAGAATTTTGATTTTTATCAAAATTGACTCCAAGACATAATGAAAAGATGGTAGTAAGGTGCCAGAAGTGCCAAACCTTTTGGAGAACCATCAAACGTTGACACAGGAACATCAGGAACATGCCACAAAGTGATCCGTCCTGAAGCTTCACCAGAAAAAAGAACTTTGTAGAAAGGCTCCTTTCTTTCATTCATGAAGCCCATGACAAAAGGAAGACTCTGTGAAAAAGAACAGTAAGTCAATATTCAGAAAGGAAACAGATAAAATAATGCAATAATTAATTGTAAATGTGAAGGGGGTTTTTTTTTTCATCAAAAGCCGTAAAAACACAAAACAAACCACAGTTGTTTCCTTATCTGCCACTAAATCCTGCTCAGACCAAGTCTACTCTGCCTGGTGTGAACCTCTAAAGGATCAGCCCTGCTTTGCAAGTATCCTTGGCTAAACCCACATCTTAAATGGAAAAGTAGACTGGGAGGTCTCCCTGGGTTTATAGATTCACCAACATAAGGACCATAATGAAAGGTAAGAATCATGCTTTTACACAGGTAATAGCCCATAACACCATCATTCAGTCTTGAGGTGGTGGAGCATTTCCAAAGAGCAATGAAGCTGCTGAAGGGTGCGGAGCACAATTCTCATGGGGAGCAGCAGAGGGAGCTGGGATTGTTTGCTCTAGAAAAAAGGAGGCTCAGGAGACAGCTTATCACCCTCTACAATTACCTCTTATGTTAGATACACTTATTTACAACATTGAAGTTTGAGAACCAGTTTTAAAATAATTAACTGTCCTGTGAAATGGTTCATTTATAGTCTCAAAATGGAGTTCAAAACAGATTATCATACAGGTGATTTGGTTGTCTCACAAATCTGCTATAAAAACTATTCAATCAGTAAGGCAAGTATTAAAGCAAAAATATTTTAAAAGAGAGAGTCATTTTTTTTTAAAAAGCATATATTTGGGGGGAAGCATATGTGAGCTTTCTACCACCACCACAACCCTATTATTTGCTAAGCCATGTGTTTTGGCTATTTCTTTTCCCTCACCTTTCCTGACCTTTTGGCATCCTTCAGCAGTTATCCTATCTGATTTTTAGATCACAGCATTTGGCGAAAAGCTGAATGGCTTATGCTATTTCCCTTCAATGGAAAATTAAATCTGTCAGGCTTCACAGGATTATGCAACAAGCATGCTTTCTAAACGCCTACATTTGTCAACAGAAAACACTAAAAAAGAAAACAGGTACATACTTAGCAATGTTTCCAGTCAGCTGCAAATAAAAATATGTTTCTGTTGCATATTTTCAGAAACTGCTTAACAACCTGCTTGAGCTGTCACACAAAAACTCAAACTAAAGCAATTTCAGGCAAGAAATAAATCCACATCTTCCAACAGTTACAACTTCATTAACAGCATTAGCAAAACAAAAAAAAAACCAAAAAAAAACCCAAAACACACACAAAAACAAAACCAAAAAAACCAAAACCAAAAACAACGCAGAACCAAAACCTACACAGAATTATCCTTTCTATTTGCTCTAGTTCATTTTTTGCCCAAATAAAAAGACATTTCAAACAACGCAGAAACAAAACCTACACAGAATTATCCTATTTGCTCTAGTTCATTTTTTGCCCAAATAAAAAGACATTTCACATGTCTTTCCTGCCCCCCATTCCCCAGCTTCCTAATTATAATGAATTTTCTTCTTTTCAAATCATGTGTGTTTCCTTATTTGTGATCACACAAAACACAACATTAAGAGGGAAGATGTAAGTTTCCAACACAGCTGTGTACATTTGAGATACCTGTCTACCACAGTAACTTTAAATTTGAAATTGGTGTGACATGCTGTACTAAGTATAAATTCTCAAACAAAAGTGTAGAGATCAGCTACTTTTCCAGCTTCCTCTTAACATTAGAGGCTTCTTCAGTCCAAGGCCATGGATCTGAAGAGAGTCATATGTGTCTCATTTTACACATTCTGGGTGCATCAGTCTGCTCACAGTGCAAGAAAGTTCTGCATGTGATTATGCCTCTGAAGGCTCAAGCCAGCAGTATTCTGGATAAAATGCCACAGATTCAGACCCCTTCCATTTCAGGTGGATACACAGCCTATTTATATAGTTACATTGAAACATGCATATATTCCTTAATAAAACACGAAGTAACTTGCTCACATTTTGCACATGGGTTGCCTTTTTTGATTTTGGTTTTATGGCATGGTTGTATTTATTAGCAGATTTTATTTTTATTAATTTTTATATATTTGGAAGTAGAAGCTTCTAAAAATACTTTAGACCACATATTTTTTTAAAATATTTTTCTTTTTGCCAAAATTAGAGAAAATAAACAAGAACCAGTCTATCTAGAGTTGAAGATAAAGGCATTTTTCCACTGTGAAAAAAGCCTAAATATAGCCAAAAATCAGACAAAATACATTACAAGCCTCTCAAGTTTGTAAGTAACAATTTTAAAACAAAGGAATAAATATTACTGTTGTTTTTGTAGAACAATTAAATTTGTTGATGAATTCATATGTTCTTTTGGGATTACTCAGGTTATTGCAAACAGACAAACTTTCAAACCCTTATGAATTTACCTTATTTTCCTTCATGCCAGTAAAGCTGAGTAAATGAGGATAAACTGTTTCCTTCAGCACCTTCCCATCAGCAGGGTATGTGCTTTTAGAAAGGCCACTGTAAAATTAAACAAGCGATTTTAAACATACAAGCTTTAGAAAGTCATTTTTTTAGAAAGCGGAACAGTAACATCCAAGATTCACAAGTTCAATTAAAGGTAACCAAATAAGTAATTACAGGAGACTTTTTGAAATCACAGCACCAGCTGCCCAAGTTCTACATGGCTAATCTTATTCCTATGTCCCCTGCTGTGTCAAACAAAGACTGAGGGCTGTCAAACTCAGGGCAAATCTTTGAGTGCCAAAGTGGTTTTGTTCTGGTTTTTGATCATTTGCAACATGCAGAGATTTTCCATAGTAACCCTCTCAAAGTTCATCTTGTACCTGAACTTTTTGTGTGAATTTCCCATCTGAGCCCACCTGTTTAGCAGCTGGTAGATGTAACTGTGGCCATCTTCTGTCCAGATGATAAGTCTGTAAGCTGCCAGCACTTCCCCACCAGCAAAGCACTGACCACTCTTACAGAACTCAGTACAAAGCAAGGAGAAATCACAATAATCATAGACCTAAGTTCAGAAAAACAACAAAACATAAATAGTATTGGCAAATTCATTTTAACCTAAACTGAGTTTGGAGAGAGAATCAGGAAGTAGAACATGAGTTCAACTCTTTGTTGTGGAACAAATATTGTTAAAGCCTAGCATGTTTTGATAAACTACTACAAAGTCGGACTCAAACCATACAGTTCAAAGTCAAAGAAACTGACAGTTAAAAAAAACTCAATCAAAAAGTAGCTTTAGGGCCTTATAGTCTCATTATAGAAATTAATAGAAATCCATGCATATTACAGATATTTTTCCATGAAAAGTGGAAAAATCCATTCTACACATGAACTTCCTCTATAAATGCTTTTGTATAGAATTTAAGTAGCCCAAGAGACATCTCAAGGATACAACTACATTACTTGAAGTTGACCCTGGTACATGTAAAATTTTTTGACGCATTCCTGTCCCCACAGAGATTTTGGAATCAGGTATAAATGTTAAAATAATCGTGACTGATTAATGTAAGAGAAATCTTTGTGCACTGGAAAAGAAAAATACAAATTTTTTACAATAAGTTTCAGTTTAAATTGTGTTTTTCTAAAACATTTTTTTAAATTTTTAGTTACAATATTATAGCTACAAAAAAAGCAATATAGCCTGAGGTCTTTAGTTTTGCTGCTGCTATCAACAAACAAAGGTCCCAGACTACTGAGGACTCGCCAACTGTGAGTACTTCTGTCATACTTAAACAGGGATTTTTATTCTTTGTCTCCCTTTCAAATGCACTGCAGAGAGGACTATAATGCACTCACAGTGCTCTAAAACTGTCTAATACTTAAATCCCCCTTCTATCCAGCCAATTTGGAGTTAAAGTTTTAAAGAGGAAATACATTCATAAAAAACAAAAGCTTCATCTCTTTCACAAAGTTAAGCCAAGTAGTGTTGCAGGCATAATCATATCTGACAATTTGTGAATGCTTTCTTTAACCTAAGGAGAAAAACAAGTATCTGCATGTAAAAATCATATTTGCTTTCCAAAATTACCAACATTAAAAAGAAAGTGTAATTCTCAATAATGTACCTGCCAGCACATGGAGGACACAACAAGAAGGAGCCTTTCCGTGTAAGTACAAAATCTTACTGCTTGACAGTTTACACAGTCCAGAGATTTTGATTCCTTCTCACACACACTTTGTTTCTCCTTTACAACACAGAGAGGAAAAAAGGCTATAAAATTTGTTTCAGATATCTGAGCTTTTAGAATAGAAACAACCCACTGAAAATAACTTTCTGTTAAGAACTTTCAAAATTGAAAGCAATGTATAATTCTTAATTAACAATAGAAAGGCAACAGGTACACAACTAATGTGTAAACAGAAGAATGTAAACATTCAGAGTGGCTCAGACTGTGATCTCACTTAAAGAAGTGATAATGAATGTGGAGAAGGACTAAAGGCAGGCAATAATAGAAACTGCTGTAATGAGTATCTGCCAGGCATTCTTCAGTGAAAAAATAGCTATAACACCTATAAAACAGAGGATCAGATTCAGAAAAACTGATGAATATTTTACTTTCCCACTCATTCTTGTTGCAAGCAGGAGTCTGAGATGCTGGTGTTGCCATATGTCTAGTTTGCCCTTAACACCTTTAAAGGTAGTGTAAAAGCAATTAATTTTCTTAGCTTTGTATTGCTAAATGTACTGTTAAAAACAATGTATGTATTTTCACACTTTTTGTGGGAATATCAGACATATTAAAGTCATCATACCCAAAAGTATTCTATTGGAATTATATTTATTAATAAAATCACTTTAGATGGATGTTTCCTGTTTTTTTAAGATATCAACAGTCTCAAAACCTCTCAGAGAAGGGCTATGTATGCTTGGAATCATGGCTATAAAACCGAAAGCCATTTTCTTACAACATCTTGCAGCTTCAGTTAATTCCAAGTAAACCCAACAATATTTATTAAAATACTGCTCTTCAGAATTTAGCCGGATTGTTATGAACTCTGCAGCAGTCCTTCCACAAAAGGTGCCCCCAGGCAGTAAAAAGATTGCACCACACCATATGTTCCTCTGACATCTGTAATCAGTTGTTAGGACCCTCAGAATTTTTAAAACACAGCAGTAGGATTTGCTCTAGGAATGTTGAAAAGACACACCCACCCCAAAACACCACAGATAAATCAAAACCACACAGGATGGTACCAAACTTGACAGACTCTCCTAAGGAGCCGGATTCTACCCATGAACAAGTATTGCTGCCCACACCCTGGTTTGTCCAGCCACGCAGTGGTGAGTTACCAACATTCAGAGAAATCTGTTGATATTTTGCCTGTTCTGTCTCACTGCTGAAGTCCCATTGTGAATGTAGCTTTTAGAGTATAAATAAAACAAAAATTGCATCCCAATTCTAACACTTGTTCATGGAAGGTGACAGCTGCTGAGAATATTAACCCAAAAAAGAGTGAGTTTGAAGGTAGAAAAATGGGACACTTGACACAGCAAGGGTCTTTTCCAAGTGAAGACAGCACTGTGAAAAGCAGACTGAGGAAAACAAAATCCAAAGGACCTTTTTGAAGAGAGTAACAAGGGTGAAGAGGGAGTACAAAGGCCAATACTGAAGAGCTTTGAGCTTAAAGGACAGAGTGAAGGGGTTCAAAGACATTATCAGGATGGCAGGAAAGCATTGCAACTTGAGCATCCTGGAATATGAAAAGCCAAGAAGCCTGGCCAAAAGGTAATACAGTTGTCAAGGCAAGATCTGTTCAATGGCCCAATTTTAAATAATGCTATGAAGATGTGTTTTCAGAATTTTGTAACAAAAGTAATAAAATCTATTTAATATACATCCAGAAGATGTACATTTATTCATATTCTACTTCAATGAAGCCTTTACTTGAGAACATTCATGTTAACACTGACCTGAATGCTATTCAGAGATGAAGACAGGTCCCATACTTTGAGAACTCCAGCTACAGACACTGCAACTAAAGAGTCTTCTGTGAAAAGTTAACAGTGAAATAGTCAACTTGAAGCCAAGTGCAAACAGTCCCTATCTATTCAGCACTAAAACAAGGATTCTGCAGGACACTGCTTAGATGAAATATCAGTTTTACAACAAAAAAAAAAGTAAATTAGGTACAGAAATACAAAACATGAAAGCAAGCAGTGAATAATGTATTAATAGAAGGCACAGAACTGTGCCTTTAATTTATCTGACATTACTAAACTTATTTATATTTAAATCCAAGAACTGAGCTTTTACAGGCAGTATAGGTATTTTTTTCTCTATAAACAAATAAAACAGGAGCCTTAAAAACACCTCTTGTGCTATCAATAAAACCTTAACATCATTTACATAGCAGCTCTGTGAAATGATTTGATATTAAATCAAGTAGGAACATACCATCTATGCATAAATATTATATCACAATTTAATTTACCTACATAAATACATGTAAAACATATACCTTGAATTCTTGCAGAGTGTACAATACACATACAATTTATCCAATCAGAAGACTGAGATGATGATAAAGTGTGAAGAACATCCAAAGTTTTAGCATCAATAATAAGAACATCTTGATATTCTCCACAACAAAGAAGCCAGCCTTCACCTGTCATTCGGAATGAGCAATGGTAATACTGTCCAAGTGGAAAGCAGAGAATCAGCACAGATACACAAATGACATGAAGATTTTCACACTGAACATGTCATAATCAACACTTGTAGCATCACTAAAAAAATCTAAGGCATATGTGAAACCATACCCAATATCACTAATGACACTAGCAGGACACACAGCTTAGTAAAAGGTGCTTCAGACTGGAAGCAGCATCTGTCCTTCCTAAATATTAGGATTTTTGTAATTTTTGGAAGAAAGTCAAGTGTTAATTTTCCCTATAAATTGCTAAGGAGTTTGAGACTTGTTTCTGTGAGAGACCCCTCTCCAACCATTTCATAAAGCTCCTGTCATCAAGAGTTGTATGAAAAGGAAAAATCAGGTGAAGATGCAGAATATTTGTAATTAAATTTTTCATAATTAATTACTGATTACTTTCCAGGAAGGATTTCTACTCCATAGGATATTCTTCATTCTGACATTCAACACCCTAGTGTTCAGAAGATTCTTTCTCAGCAATCACAACAGGGAAAAAACCAACAGACACAAGGCAAAGGAACAGAGTGCAAAGTGACTATGAGGATTTTTTTTTGCTAGGTGTTTTATATGTGCAAGGACATCTGCATTATATGTCTAGCTGTAATTGTAAACAATTTATATAAATGCATAAGCAGCCACCTCAAAGCAGATTTACATTTATTACTAACCTTAAAGGGAACAATCATCTAGTCAGACAAAAATATCAGACAACCCAAAAAACAGCACCTCATTTATAAATTTTCTGTACAGTTTTGGTCGTATAATAATTGTTTTTTTCAGTAAACTAACTGATGTGTGTAGTAAAAATAACTGGAAATAGGATAAATAGTACTACAGACATTATGAATAAACATAGGCAGAAATGCTTAGAATTTACAATTACTGTTACCATTAAATTAGGCTTGAAATAGAGGATTTTTATAGTCAGTAATTCCTCTGAGAAAATTCCACACTGGTTAAGAGCCACACATGTTTAAGTGTTGACCCTGGAGTTGAATTTAATTTCAAATGGCAAATATTCAGTTTGCACTACTTGACATCTGCCATTCATACCTAAATCATCTACACTGAACAAAAGGAACCTACTAGAACAGATAGTTTAGTAGTTCAATTAAAACCAAACATTAACTACAGCACAAGCAACCATTCCCCATGGAACAACAAGGAAAAAATCTACAATAAAACACACAGAAAAACAATTTATTATAGTTATCTGAAGGCTGCATTTTAAGAATAGTTTCTCCTCCCAGAAACATCCACTTCTCGTAAGAAAGCTTTCCTGTTAGATGTCCCTATTTTCCTTCAACTCTCTTGCCCAAGTTATTAAACAAACATAATTATTAGCCACAATTAGGTTTAGCTCATTTCTAATAGAGAGGAACTACCTATTTTCTACAAGTATTTGCTACACCTACTTGGAGGGTAAGAGTGAATATTCTCTCTGATCTCCACAAAAAAATGTACAGATTGTCAGCTAATCAGCTAGGCCAGATTTGCCTACTTCCCTGCAGAAATTGTCTGTAACTTCATCTATTAAAATCTAATTAAGCACTAGAACATAGCAGGTCAAATTATAATTTTAGGAGCAATATAAGTATTGCTTTGTTTGTGTACATACATCCATTTAACGAATATAAACACTTTAAGCATATGCACAAATAGAAGTGTAGAATAATTCTTAATTTATACAGTTTTTATACACTATATATATTAAAAAAAAATTGAACAAATTAATCTTCCATAATTTTTGTTGGCAATATATCCAAACTTTTTCCTCTTCCCTTTACAATTATCATATCAACCAAAGAAGTGTCAGGAAAAACATTTTCTTCTGGAAGTGTTAAAAATTTTGGATTCCAAATTGGCTGTGCTTTGGAGTTACATGAAGGCTTGGATATCCATCATTTGGAGCCTTAATTCCAGCTTAGACTTCCTCACTGAAGAAAACCAGCATTTTAACTAATACAGGAACCCTGAGCTTCTCCTCTACTAACATATCCAGAAATAAACCATGTCCCAGAATCAAACCCATAGACATTGGGCCCCTCAGTCTCACTCACATGTTTTTCAAACTCTCCCACACTCCAAAATCTAGATTCTTATTTTACCTGGATACAGTTTCAACCAGACACACAAAATTATCTGAAGCAATATTGAAAGTCTCTGAATATAAGGGATTTGTCCTAAAGTTCTGCAATGAAGGAACATGCATTTTTAAAAATGGGGTGAACTCTTTTGGAGGTAGGAGTTCAGCACCAAAACCAAAAGCTTAAAAATAAGTCTTTCAGCAGATTGTCTCGCAATGTTTGGCCAGATTACTTGTACTTTTAAAACGCCATGAAAAAGCCGACATCAAACTTGAAGCTTCCATGCAATTTTAACAAGACAAGAGCAAAGATTAAGACCATTTCACTTGGCTATCTGATGCACAAACAGTAAGTTAATCAATACTGCATTTCAAATATTTGCAGCTTAAAAGTAATCAGTCTGATTTGATTAAGGAATGCAGAGGAACATAAAATTCTCAATTCTTTTCTGAGAAGAAAAAAAACTGAAAAAGACAAAAACTACTTATTTTGTGACAGGGTCTTTTTTCCGACGTTACAAGCTGTATATTTAAAACTGTTTCTGAAAAATATAAAGTTAATAAAGGAAAACTCTTGCAATGAACAGAGACCCCATGAAAAGCTGCTATACTTACATGGATTGCTGTATGCCTATAAGGAAGCTTTGCGTTCACAATGCACTGTCCACTAGTGACATTCCAAACACACATCTCCCTGCCAAAGATAATTTCATATTATTCTCTGTCATTTCCACTCAATTGGCTGGAATAATTTTGTGCCACCAAGTTTTTCTTTAGTGCTGTATTTAAGTGTAGTCTGGTCATTTATAAAGCTTTTTGTTACAGATTGCTGGGTAAGAAAATGTAGTCATTAGCAGGGGATGACATACAGTGTCTGTTTCTTTTTGTTTTGGTAATTACACCCTGCTGCCTTGCAACCAACCTGACTTTAAGACCAACTCTGGTCTTCAACAAATTGTAGGTATACTGCCATTACAGCTCGTCAACATGTCACTGTAACTATCTGTCACTGGAACTACATCCTCCTGAAAATGATTCATTTCACTGAACTTAAACCACACGTTTCGAAAAGCATCATGCATCTTCTCCCACATCAGTTCTTGAGAGGAACAACGTTTGTTAAGAAGAAACAGTGCCATCATGAGGCTGTTCTCAAAATCTGCTTTCAATACACAACCACCTGAGTACCTGCGCAACACTACAGTTACACTTGGACACATTTAAGGTTGTTTGAGAGAGACTTTGGCACACGTTCCTTATCTACACATTATTCAGCATGCAGTGGGACTGGATTACAAGAGACAGTCAAATTAAATGTTGTAAATGAGGCTGAATGAGATATTATAGCTCAGCAAATGAATGTTAAACTTTTATGCTTTTAGATTTTATTTAAAAAACAAACATTACTTCCAGAACTGAAACACTCATTTCATTATTTCTCACAATACATTGTAAGAAATTTTCTGTATCAAGACTTAAAGAATACACTGGGGACAGCATTTTATTATATAAGAAATACTACTTAGTGATTTACATTTTAACCTACCTACTTTCCCATTTGATGCTAAACTCAAAGCATTATTTCTTAATATTTTTAGCTGAGCAATAGCAGCATCAAAGTTGGTAGATCCAAAGTCAGAAATTAAGTGAAAGCTTTATACTGTCTGCTAAACCTTTCAGAGCAATGATTTTCTCATCGTTTGTATCAGAACTTTACTCCTTTAGCTACATTACTGTGATACATACATACCTAGAAGCATGCACAAATGAGACCAGAATGTCAGAATGTAACTTCAGCTTCTGGATGATGTATTCAATCTACTGTGTGTACTAATAAGGAGTGAGCAATATCACACATTCCACACAGCATGTGCTGTAGGACAGGTTTGTCACTCAGGACATCAGTGAGAATTCATGAATCATTAGAGATTCCTTTATAAACTTTCATATTAGATGTACAAAAAATTATGTTCAATGTGCGTTCTTCTGGGATTAGTCAGTTATAGAAACTTTGAAACTAATCCGGAGTGGAACAGGGAAGCTTATCATAGAATCATCTTACATAAGACTTCCATCCTCACTACAAGAAGATGGAAGCTTGAAAATGGCAAAAGTGAATTATCCACAAGCCAGAAAATGCATCTTGGCAAACCCTCCACCTCCTGAAGACAAGGATTCCTACTTGTAATTACCTGAACTTCATGTTGCATCATTACAGGGATCAGTGATGGATGCTTTGCACTTATGTCATACAGATGGGAAGTCAGCAGTAATTTGGTAAAAGTGAACATTTAAAGGGGCCAGAAGACAATTCAATCCTACCTATACACATTCCAAACAAGTGTAATGATCCCTTCAGAGCTATAAACTTTAGGATGTGAGCATCCCTGTATGGTATATCTACAGTAATATCCTCATTTGTGTCTTAACACTTTCTATCCCAGTTTTTTTTTTTAAGTACAGTGTCTTTGCTCCCAGTATGATCTGGAAGCAGTATTGCACTAACAAAACTTCAGAACTGGGAAGAAAAGCAGCTTCTTCTCAGAACCCTTGAACAGAACTATAGAAGGGCAATACAAAACTGGTTGTAGATTTCTCACCCTCTCTGTACATAAACAGTAACATTTACCACTGCCTGTCCAGTGAGGTGGTCTAATCTTTCAAGATTAAGAAGCCTGAAATAGTTTTTTTTGCAGGTTATCCCTTTGTAGTATACTCATGATTGAATGAGAGAAACAGCCAGGGATCCTAGCAGCCAGAAAGGCCAAATAAGCTACTCAGTGAGAAACCAGTAGCCTTAAGGTGTGGGAAGGTACAGCTTGAAGGACAATTGACAGCTAGTCTTCATGGAAAGCCATTTTAACAGCGCTGTCCTGTTAATTAGAAAGTACGAACCCAAAAAAAAAAGGGGAATATAATTAAGCACTGAGACAAAATTGCTTAAGAAAGCCCTTAAGGAAGTAAGCAGCTAGCCCTGTTTCAACAGGTGAAATCCTAACAGGTCTTCAAACCCCAGCTGAAAATGTTATCAAAGGTTCTTAAGTGTAACCTAGCAGAAATGCAGGAAGTAGTTTGACTCAAGTGACAGGCTATGTCATAACACACACATGGCAGAAAAACTGCAAGATCAAGGTCCTCTGAAAGGATATTCTCCAAAACAGTACATCAGATTCAAATACAGAAAAGAAGCACGTATGCCTTTATTTCATGGCCATTCTGTTTCTATACAAACTGACTGAGGAACCATAAACCATATAAGAGTACATTGGCCTCTTTTACTGGTTCAGTTCTCAAGTCTGAGCTCAGGAAGAAACAGAGAAAAACACCATGATATTCAAATGCTGTTGAATTGCTGATACTCCCCAATAACCCATTAATTTCTCTTTGAATGGGGTCTAGTCAACGCCTTTAATAGTTCCTTTTTTCTGTCTACTAAGTGGATATGTGAATCTGCCAAACCTTTGTGTTGTCCATGGGACAAGCTCTTAGTTGGATCATTGAATTTTAACAATATAGTCACTATCCTAAGTAGCTGCTATCATTTTAATATCATGGAAGAGGATTGAAACATTTCTGCAAATGCATAATCTGACCTACACTTGACACACATTTCATGATTTAAGAAATTAATTATTGAATATTCAGTTACCTACCCATTTTCAGTAGCACTTACTACGTATGGCTGTTTCTCAAACTCTCTTGCTTTTGCCAAACAAGTTACAGAAGCAGTATGGCCAAAGAGAATTTCTTTAGATGAAATCTAGGAGAATAATACAATGATTTATCTCAATTTCTGTATAAACTAAGGATATCTAAAACCAAGAGAATATTACTTGTAGATCTATATAATTGTCAACCTGCTTCATATTTTTATCTTCTCCCATCATGTTTCTGGAATGCAGAAAGATGTGGAAGAATTTTTATGGAGTCTGCATAAAGCTAAGTTTTTGTATTCACTGCATTCATCTTCTGAAGAATGTATGGAACATCAAATGTAATAAAACAGTCAATGTGCAGGACATCTCTAGCCTTCATCCTATAGAATGCACCAAAAGCGACACAGTGAAATAGAAACTGATAAACAAAAGCTCTTAAGCATGTGTTTCATACCACATGTTTGAATAACCTGATTATCACTGCATGCAAAGGTCTTAATTGGAAAAGTAGACTCATAAAATTGCAAACTTTCAGACTGTGTTTGAGAACAAATGTAAAATAAAATTTATTTACTAAATATAAAAAAAAAGAATAGAAACATAGTTCTAGAAACACAGAATAAAAAAACAGGAACTGTTTTGACTCTGTTCCATTCTGAGGAAAATAAATATGAAATAAAGCAATAATTTGCATCTTGGTTACATCAAAAATAAAACTTTCATCTTTCTGCTTCCATCTTGGCAGACAGATTTGGTTTTATACTTTTCCTTTAAATGACAGGTCCTGCTCAGCAATTGATTTACAACAGAAAAAAACCCTTCAAAAATACAAATCATGCTAATTGTATATATTTACTTGCTGCCATTGCTCAGAGCACAGTCTCAAATTATAATCCACTGGGCATGCTAATCTATGAAAAATTCTCCAAATTCTGCAAATAACAGGTTGCTTATATAGGCATTTCACTTCCTGCTTCATGAGTTTCCTATAACAAACATCACACTATCTTTAAAAATTCATCTAAATAACCACAAGTCTGGGTAATCCTATTGTCAATAATAAAAGATAAAACTCCAGTCTACCTGGCAACTGTAGCACAGTGGACACAAACCTGTAAGTCTGATGAAAGATCCCAGAGACATATTTGTCCTTCTTGGCTCCCTGTAACTATGGTCTGTTGGTCATCCGTGATCATCACAGCAGTGATGCTGTGAGAGGGAGCTGTTCTCCCCCACACAGCCACAGCTGGTACTGATGGCTTCATGGTAACACCTGAAAACAAACAAGTCATGATGATCCTAAGTAGGATTAAGCATAAGAAAAAAATCAGCTATAAAAAAGGGGGAATGTAATCAACATCTGGAAAGGGAAGCCATAAAATATTGCCTGATAAGGCATTGAAACATTTTCTTGCTGTTGCCAACATCACACTAACCATTTCAGGGACCAGTACTATCAGAATACTGAATCATCAGCAACAAGAGTTTTGTGCTGCCCCACACAACCTGGTTTAGCTCTGATGGGCTCATGTTGCTCTCCCCAAATGTGGCTGGTGGAATACACCACAGCCAGCAGCGCTGCTCACTGGTAACAGCAGAAGCCATCTGCTGGAGCAGAGGTGGCACAAGAGCAGGGTGTCAATAAGGACCCTGTGATTTCTAGAAGGGTAAGACAAGAGAAAGATAATATGGCCAAAAGGAGAGAAGTGGTGGTGGATCAAGGAGGAAAAGAAAAATGAGGCCCAAGATGGCAAAGCTATGTACCTAACTATATACCCAACCAATCTGTGGCACTCCTAGAGCCAAGAACAAGAAGTAAGGTGGCAGCAGAGTTGCAAGCTGAGAAACAGAGAATGAATAGACTTTGTTGCTCAAAACATGAGTCCCTTGCCCAAAAAAAATTTATCTAATAGATTTGTCCCTACTGAAAAAAAACGATTTAATAGGGTTATCCATCTGGCTGAGAGCAGCTTTGACTCCCACCAGCTGGGCAATAGATAGACAGATTGACCAATGTCAAAATTGTTTGTATATGTCAACATGTTATTCTCAAGTGTCAGTAAACAAGAAGGAGCATATTTTAAGTTGTTTCAGATTCACCATTATCTATGGTCTCTTACATAAACATTTTAATTTTTCTTTTCAAAAGTACTGCATGTCACCTATGCCACCTTTCTTTTAATCCAGACAGCAATAATATGATTGAAGACATATTTCAGAGCAACCACTTTGCAGCCACTAAGCAAAATTCACCTTTCAGAGAAGGTGTGGTCCAATTTGTCCTGGACAAAGAGACACCAGAGCCCTTTGTACATCCTTAGGACAGAGGTTCAAAATGAAACAAGATACAGTAATGCAACTGGAAGAACTCAGTCAAAAAACATGACAGTAAAGCTGAACTTTTCTGAGGAGAGACAGGAAGTGGGCAGAACAAAATGCATGACAGCCAGTAACAGTGAGTCAAAGTAACACAGGAATGATGACAAGTGACATGAAGAGCAGTTCCTGTGATAATTCAGAAAAGACCACAGAACAGAAATGGAGCACAGAAGCAGCCTTTTAAGTTATGCTTAAGGAAACTGTAACCCAGCACAACAGCAGTTGAAAGCAGGGACACAGACAAGAGGTATCTTCATGACTATTACTAAAAGCCTAAAGCGATACAGAACTAAAGGAATGGTCTTGCTTCCTGACAAGAAAATGAGATAAAGGGCTCAGCTACTGAGAAAAAGGCTGAAAAGACTGGTATGGCACACTATTGAGGTCCTGCCATATAACCTTGACAGAATGCTGAGGGCAGAGGAAGAAGAATCTAAGAAAAAATTGAGGTCATGAGTTCATTAGGCTAAATCCCACTTAGTTTCATATAAAAGCTCCTTGTGGATATATAAAAATACTGAGACATTTTATTGTCCCCAGCATTAGAATCTGACTTTTCTAAAACTTTTTTTAAAATCTCCAGTCATATGAAGTTACTGGTGAACACTGAAATCCTTTCATCTTGCAGTTTATGCTCTGAAATAAAAGCTGTTCTGACAATCCTTAATGACACATTTTTATTTATCAGGTAAGCTAAAAAAGGTTGCCATTTTCATAGAACTTATAAAGGGATGGCTGCCAAAAGAGTTTGAAGAGCCAAATGCTGCATCTTTAAAATGTATTTGCTTGCATATCATGTAGTCTTTTATACTTGTACCATGAGAGTGTTCAATTAGTGTAAAACAACACAAGGAAGCACAATTCAGGTTTGTGCTGCATTGAATATTGAATATTAAGTCATAAGTTATATTTTCTTATAAGGGGAACATAAATCAAGCTCAATATTCTTAGCCAAAGACCTACTGCTGAGCAAGTGATGAGCAAGTGATTTGAGAGAACTCAAATCAACAGATATTAAAAAGAAAACAAGCTGGTAGAATTTGCTAATGTGGAGATGATTTATCTGCAGACAGTTTAGTTACTTGTGAGTAACATGAATAAAAAATTACTGCTACTGACAAAACACTGGTTGTAAGAGAATTAATTTAGACTGAAATGTTACAGGAATATTTGGTATGCTTTCCTTTCCATCACAACTGAAGCCCAAGAGAAGGAAAGCAGAAGGTATATGAATTTTTGCATTAATACAGTCCTTAACTTTTTTATCCACTTGCTTCTTGGCTTTTTGGATTAAGATATTTTGATGCACAAGCAGTTTGAATGAAACCTTTGCTTCTAAGTGTAGCATGACTTCATTAGAAATACAGCATATCCACATGGACACATTTTGACAATACTTAACTTGACCAAATTTTTTAGTGATACTGATGGCACCTAAAGCAAACTTTTTGAAATAAAATCAACAGATATTTATCAGACTGTTCATTTTAAAAAGGTAAAAGCTGTTTTCACAAAGTCAAATATTGCCCAAGGCATATCAGAGCTGCATGTAGCTTATCAGCACATGTCAAATTCCTCCAGCTCTGCCCACTCAAGCATGTCTGATTTGCAGTATTAACCCATAACTCAACTAGAAATCACGTTGCTCAGTTCTACTGCCCATTTCTCCCTGCTTACAGCCTAATAAGCTTATTTGTGCTGTCCTTATAAGCATACTGCCAAAGAATGTTCTCTCATTACTGAAAAGCTCTGGTTTTTGTTAAAACCATACCAGCCCATCTCACCACTAACTTGTTCAATCTCTACTATTCTGTCTCTATTTCCTTTCACACTGAAACCCCACCACAAACCATTGTTAACTTGTAAAATCATCCAAAATCTCAGAGCTTCAAGGGCTTTGGTTGTACTACTTTAATAACTTTGGACAATTTGTGTAGTATTAAAGCTTAATTTGGAAAGCTGAGTACACCATCTTTTATTCTACAGGAGCCATGAGATATTTAAAAGTCTAATCAAAAGCTTTAAGAGGCCAGAAAACTGAAGGGCTGACCTTGAATGCCTTACTAAGCACATATTTATGCAAGGTCTTTTCCTCATCACTCAGCTTTTTTGACTAGGACTGGTCATGAACTGATGAGAATGAAAAAGGTCAGATTATACCACAAAGAATCAGTGCCATCATAGCTTAACATATACTTTCCCCATATATACTAAGTGTATCTTGACTTTGACTCCTCTACTGACCTTAAAACAAAATGAAATAATGGTTAGCTTCTCTATTGGGCTCATTTCAGACTTTCCAATCACTGCTACATAATTACTGCTTAACCTCAGGCACACACCCCCTTCCCTGAGCTGCATTTTCTCAAAATAAAAATTATAATATTAAAGCCCGTGGCCTAGGAACATAAAGGGTTAGAAGGGCAGAGTGGCTGAGGTCTCAGGAGCATGCACACCCATGCACTCAGTGGTCTGAAGTGAGAAATCTGGGCTCTGTTTTGCCCCACTGAAGATTGCAGCACACATTCCCAACTGGTTCCTTGCATTTTCAGTGCTTGCTCAAGAGCCTAAAGGAAGCTTTACTGAATGACACATCCTCAAGACGTTAAACTATTAGCTACAGTTGTAAGAATGAGATTGATAAAGAAAATAAATATCCTGATCTTTCAATGAATTCAGAAAAAATGCTTCTGATAAATATATATACACCAAGGTCCTTAAAATGAGGAGCTAAACTCCCCCCAGGGACCTAATCTCAAACAGTTCACGTTAAAAAATGCTGGTTGTGCCAAATTTCTTTCTCATCACTATAACCCATTAAAAAGCTACCAAATGCAAATTTATAGTTTATTTATAAAAGGAGAAAGACTTCTTGTAACAAAATATCACTTTACAGATAACAGTTAACCTGCCAAAAAAAACATTTTTGAATTTATAGCCATACTCATTTCATGTTTCCTACACCTTCCAAGCTGTCAATAGAAGGTCACTTTCTTAAAAGCCCAGTTAAATGTCCAGTAATCAATCCAGGCACAAAACAAAACTGTGCAGAAATTTGCTTACAGTGCTGAAAACATTAAGATAATAGCAGAATTTGGCTGTTTGCGTTGGATTCAATAAGTTCCCCCCTGCACACCCCATTATATTCATCTTTGTAGTAAAAGAAACCTTAGGAAGTAAAATTTAGGTAGAGTCTAAATTATTTAATGACCAGTTCCTACGGTTTTTGTGCTTTTAATCTACCTCATTCTCCTGTTCCTGTCTGCTCTTTCATTTCATCTGACATATTCTTTGTTTCTACACAGGAAAATAAAGTTCTATCAATATTGGTTTTACTCTTAGTAAAAAGCTAATAATTTTTCTTCAAAGTAGCTTTGCAGTCTGTTGGTCCATTCTACGCTGCTTTCACAACTTCATTTTACAATGCAAATGTTGCACTCTCCTTAAGCATGTTGCACATCATTTGTGATAATCCTTTTTAGAATATGATGGGACTTCCCTCAAGACCTGTTGGACTACACCCTAGAGGGCTGGAGTCACTGCTGAGTGACACCCAGAGCTCCCAGGGGATGGGGATGTCCTGCTCCTGCAGTCCAAGGGAGCAGGGCACTGGGACCAGCAATCGATACAACCCATTTTAACTAGCAAGAAGCACCTGGTAATACCTTGTTTGTATTTCTTGAACGAGTGACACAAGAAACACTTATTTCATTCCACACAATAATTCACCACAATCAGAAGGAGCACAGTAAGGGCAACACCATCTCCCAGCTGCTGATTACATCAAAGGTTTGCAGCACAAATTCAATTTTATGATGTTAATCTCAACCTGCCACTCAGAAATTTTCTCTGAGGGATATGACTTTTTTTCTCTGGATTTCATTTT